GCCAAGACGAAGCGCTTAGGCGACAATCCCAGCCACTGACGGGGCGGGGAGACGGTCTATGCTAAGTAAGTGACGTGTCTGATGACTCCGGTCTCCCGATTGGCGGAGGGTGTAGTCTTGAGGGTGGGCATTCGGAGGGCGGGCTGGGACTGGGCGAGAGCGGTCCGGCGGAAGGGGTGGGCGGGCCTACTCTGAGCGCATGCGTGGCGTACACACGTGCCCGCTCGCCCCGAGCGAACTGTGGCCTTGCGGTTTGAACTTCAGCGAAACGGAAAGACACTGTGTTCAAGATGGGACCGCCCTCTCTGCTCGCCTCTGTACTTCCACCCTCTCTGGTCCGGCAATTGTTAATTTTCATCTCACGGGATGATGATTATGAAAGTGGGCTTGTAGTTAGGTCCCGTTTAAAGATCTTTAATAAACCAATGGGTAGGTAGAAAGGGATTGATTTTGTCTGAACTCCACCCTCGGAGATGTCTATCAAGTTCAAGCTAAATAAATCTGATTCTCAAGCTCCCGATCTGGGAATTATTAGTACTTGTAAGGTAAGTGGGGCAAGTGTAGGTGCATAGCAGAGTGCTTAATTAGATGCGAGATCAATTAATTTTTTTTAATACATTTAAACAGTGCCCCCTGCCCTGACTTGAGTCGGGATGACGACTGCAATGTATCCTTAGCTTTTATCCCTAATAAATGGTCACGGGAATGGGGACAAAATGCCCATGCAGAACCTGGCATTACCATTTAAGTATTATCTGAGCTTTGGGAATGAAATGAATCCTTGTATATGCAAAAGGTGGTCTAATGTAAGGTATTGAACGTTCACTTCCTCCTCAGGATAAAGGAGAGAACTGTCAAACCAGAGGAAATGACTCAGACACATCTCAATAGCCTCATGGGATAGAGCACACACAGTAAATGGAGGTACTTCTTTGTCTTTTCCTTTACGGGTTCCCCATTAAAGGATGTCACCCCCCACCCCCACCCCTGTATCCTACCACTATATTAAAGAACTAAATCCAGAATATATTAAAGAAGTAAATCAAAGACCTAGCCTTGAACAATGACAAGTTTACATATTATTCCCCAAACGTAAACTGTCCTCAACGACAGCTACTTGGGATGGGCCCCCTAGGGGACTTCCTTCTGTGACACTCATCTTCTGTGATGTAGGCCAAGTTCAGTACTGCCCCCTTCTCCACCTCCCTGAACATCTCCGACCAAATTTATTTTTCTTTCTGTCCCTTCCTTTTTCCTTTCCTTCCATCTCCCTCCCCTCCCCTCCCCTCCCTCCCTCCCTTCGCCTGTTCTTTGTCTATGAAGCACCTACTTAGCTATAGTTAAGGCAGTGTAGCTTATTCTAGGTTGAGTAATTTATTATCCCTGCCTTCAACTCACTTATAATCATAGAAATGAAGATCTAGCCCTAGCTGGTTTGGCTCAGTGGATAGAGTGTCAGCCTGTGGACTGAAGGGTCCCAGGTTCGATTCCAGTCAAGGGCATGTACCTTGGTTGTGGGCACATCCCCAGTGGGAGGTGTGCAGGAGACAGCTGGTCAATGTTTCTCTCTCATCGATGTTTCTAACTCTCTATCCTTCTCCCTTTCTCTCTGTAAAAAATCAATAAAATATTTTTTTTAAAAAGTGAAGATCTAGATATGAATCACTGAAATTCACTCCTCCCCTTTCTTAGGTCCCGATCAATAGATCAGTGTTTTGAAGGAATTGTTGACTTGGGGAAATGCAGAGACCTTAGGAACAGTAGTCGAGGGTAGATACAGCAAAGTTCCCCCTTACGTTTCTCAGTGTGATTGATGGCAGGCTGCCAGAGCTTCATCAGGTGTAAGAACTTCAGGTCAGGCCAGTAGAGAGACCCGTGTCTTTGTGATTGTGTCATTGTCTATAATTAGTTTCTCTCCATGAAGCTGGACCTTCCTGTTTGAATCCCCTGCCCTGAAATGTCACCCGGGCAATGTTTTTATATAGTTGTTCTTAAATATCCCTGGCCACCCTCCTCCAGAACAGTTACTTAAAGTGCTGAATCTTGCTATCACCAGCCCCCTCCTCATTATCCTGCCATCAAAACACCTTCCAGCTCTCTTTTGATGAAGGTATCTTTCCCTCTGCTTCTAATGTTTGGACTTTCCCCATCTTTAAAGCAAAACAGACCTTCACTTGTCCTTGCTAGATGGAAAGTTGAATGATGGCGAGGATTCAGACGTATTTCAGCACATCTAAGGATCCTAATGCTGTCTGAACATGGAAATTTCTGGGTCTTCTGAAGTGGTACAATCCAAAGGACATCATTTATCACCCTGGACGAGGCCCACTGAGCTCCAATATTCTGTGAGCTCAAAAGCTGGCAAAGGGCAGCTGGGCCCAGCCCCATTGTCCCTGGGTTCTTTTCTGCTGATCTGTTTGTTCCAAGTTCCATTCTGCTACCTAGGCTGGAAATTCCACACATGCTCAGCTCAAAGGAATGCAGCTCTTGCTGGCCAAAGCGCTAGCCAGGAAATGAGGAGCAACTTTGCATTTGTGGCTTCTTTTCACTTGTGGCTTCCTCTCTCACAGCTGTGAGGCCGACTGTACTACTGCCTGAGCTGTTCACCAACCTATCCAACTGGAGAGCGACTACTTTCAGGTCACCTCGTCCAGGGAGCCTCTGCTGACTTCTACAAGCAGCCTGCTTCCTGACCTTTAAAGGCCCAGAGACCTTTCATTTGACATGGTATTTAATTCCTTCCTAGTATTTCCATTATTTGTTTAACCCCTTCATTTATTTATGTATGTATTCATTCACTCATCATTAATGTAAAGCACCTACTGTATGCCAGGCCCTATGATAGGAGTTAAGGGTTAGTAAATCAAACATAAGCCCTGCCATTACAGAATTTACTGTATGGTAAGATGGTAGCTAGGAGCAGTCACATAAGTATACATACAATTATAGCCCATTGAAAATCCTTGCAAGTAGGAATGGTGTTGGGCATACAGCCTATATCACACAAATGTTTGTAAAATGTGAAATGTCTTCATTAGTTCTTAATTTTCCACATTAACAGGTGAATGTACAAATCATGGACTATCTAAAAATGTTCCTCAGCCCGGATGGTATGGTTCAGTGGTTGAGCATGGAGCTATGAACTGGGAGATCATGGTTCTATTCCTGGTCAGGACATATGCCCAGGTTGAGGGCTCGATCCCCAGAAGGGGGCGTGCAGGAGGCAGCCAATCAATGATTGATGTTTCTCTCTCTCTCCTCTTCCTTCCTCTCTGAAGTCAA